ACGTTCGTTACGAATTCTGGGCATAGGTTACTATTGCCAAGGCAAATTTTGCCCACAAAATCTCATGAAATAGAAATATTCCCCAAGTATTAAGAACCTACATCACAAATTTGTCTTCTAGTTATAATTATGGTAACTTATTTTTGCCCTCACCAAAATTTGAGAGGTTGCTCCCAGTTAGATACCAGTTCGTAACAATTTCATTTCAAGAAACACCCAACGATGGTTTCCTCCCAAATACACTAAACACACTTTTTAAGCTATCCAGAGTACTTTTAGATCTCTAAAAATGCATTATAAACGGCGCTATAAAATGTGCTTTTTTTTTGTCATCCTAGGTGAACTTAAGTCTTTTTCGAACCTACAAGAGCTTCAGTATTATTTTCACAAAAATTTTAGTTGCAATGAGCATTTTTCTGATTCCTCTCTCCATCACATTTTTGGATCCGAAAAATTTTAGGTTTCCTTTTTTCTACGAAAAAATTCCTAACCTGGGGAATGAAATCTGAAAAAATTAACTTCAGAAAATCGTAGGGAATTTATTACATAGGTTTCAAAAATTGTACATGAATGGAAGGGTCATCAGAAATTTTTAGCCTTCCTCAAGTTATAGAAAATTCTAGGCAATATCAGCTTCTCCGAAAAGATATTTTACAGAAAACAGTCGTTGGGTGCCCTTACTTGGGTGCACTAATTTCTGGGAAGGTTTGAGTGGAGGAATAGTTAGTTATGATTGGTCAATGGTATCCAAGGCAACCATTAAGAACCAGAACGATCCCAGAAGTCGTTGAGCCGGAAGCTCGTACCCATTCCTCTTACATTTTATGAAGTGGGGAATTCTGTTCAACCCAAAATCTCTTAGAGCAGTCAACATTCTCCATAAAATTTCACTGTGTACTCTAAGGGTCATGAGAATAAAGAAAATGATCGCCAAGTGAAAAAGGCCTTGACGGGTAAAAAATTGTATCAGAAACACTTGTGAAGGCAAGACCACAACGACAAACCAGTGACATTTATCTTTTTAGTAGCCTATCATTTTCTGTTTATCTCGCATATGTAACGTTCATCCTTTATCTGTATTCACTTTTCTTTCATAGCCCCCGTTGAAGGTTTGTGTTGCAAATATAATATGTGGAAACCACTTTATTTTTGTTTTCTTTCTTAATTTTTTTCTATCACTCTTCCTGCCGTAATGATCAGTTTACTGTTTTAAATTTAAAACTTGACTGTTAAACACCTTTCCCCTCGTGAATCAGTACAACAGCAACTTTATGGAGAACAGTTGTACAATGATATTAGGATTTCTTGCAAGGATTAAGAAAGAACGCCTATAACTACCCACTATATATGATCGTCCATGAAGTTACTAGCTTCAGCAAGAAGCCAATCTTTCAACTAGGTAATTTTGAAAAGGCTTTTATCAATGAAATAGTTATTGACACGGTTTTGTATGAACAGAAAACCAAACATAAGCAAAATCATAAACTTGAAAGTTCAAAAGTTTTTTCTGAAAGTTTCAATTCCCACCTTTGCTCTTCAAACAATGCTCCAAAAACTTTGGGGGGACAATGCGTTATATGAACTGCAGCTAAATTAACCGATTTTTGCGACGCATCAAAGGAAAACCTGGACTTTTTTTCGCAGCAAAATTGAACATCAGATTATAGCTTACCTACATAAGGCAATCAAAAACATTTTTTGTTCATTTTCTGGGTCTCCATCCATTTATAAAGTTCATCAATTTTGCCTGCTCAAAGACATTATCGACTCCAAGTGATGATAACAGTTCTTTATCAAATGTCACAAACAACTTTCCATCTATCTGGTTGCTAGAGAAGGTGTCAACATGCTTCTCTAAGTTGAGCTTTCTCAGGCATTCACCCAATTCTGCTACAGACACACTACTGAGATCATCAGGGAAATCAGATGAAGAATAATCCTGGTTTGTACTGTAAGTGGCTGAACTCGAAGAGGAACTGGTCATTTTGGATGACTTGGGAGTAGTCTTCCGGAAGAATTTTGAGAGCCAGGTTCCTTTACTCTGACCGTGTCTCGGCTGAGGTTTCATCGCCGTGGAAGTTACTTCACTATTTTCATACACAGGGTATTCCGGGTATAAGTAATCGTGTTCTTCACTAGAATCATCAAAATCACTGTCTTCAGTGTTTAGGTAATCTTCTTCATCATAATCATCATCGTCATTATCATCACCATCACCA